GAAAAAAATCAAGAAACCAAATCCATGGAAACTTGTTAAAAGGATGTATGCGTCAGTGATACATACATCCTTTTAACTAGGGTTGTGGGCACGGGGTCATTGGGCATGCCTTATAGGCATGTCTCCTGGGCATGCCTGGGGGCATGCCTTTAAGCCCAAAAGTGTGTCTCTATCATATGATTTTATATGGTTACACAGCAATTTGATTGGCTACTGTAAGCCATATGAAACTAATTTTCTTTTGTTTGCAAACATTATACTTAATGATTGTATCATGGAAATAAGCAGGAGCAAATACATTCGATTATCGTTAGAAATTCGAAACTATTATCATTGTTATTTTATAATTTCCGTAATACAGTTCATTATTTACACTAGTATAACAATATAACATTTAGCATAATAATCAAATTATTATGCTACACTTATTTTCCCGGAAAAATAAGATTTAAAAGCACTAGTATAGCATGCATCATTATTTATATATATTAGCATCACACAACTAATTTTTTATTTATTTTTTGGTCAAACATTATCTTTAAAAAAAATGTATAAAAGATACTTCTTTTTCTCTAAGTGTAAAAAGTAATTTGTAAATTCAATAAAAAAGATAATAAAAAAGAAATCAACTATTAGTCACTTATGTTCCTTGAGATAATATATTTAAATTTTGCTTATAACTTAATTCACTCTTTTATAAAACTAACTATATATTATGCAACCACCGCCAGGCTTCGCTCTGCCACTTTTAACCCAAAGTCAATGCTGGCGTGGCTTTTTCATTCTGAACAAAAAAAAAAAGGAAATAGATATGATGCAAAATGCCAATATTGTTTAAGTGAATTAAGTGGCAAACCTTCATTGCTTCATTAGCATGTGCTTCGGTGTAGTAATTGGTCTTCTACAAAAAAAAGCAATTTATCTTCAAAAAGTTAAAGAAGAAAATATTTCATCTCATAAATATATTTGTGATGATAATGAGGATGATGATACTCTCGCTAAACAAGATATTTCTGCTAAACAAGATTTTGAAAGCACAAATCAGTTATCTGCACGCCCTCACCAAAGTACAATCTTTGATTGGTGTGTTCGGCCTTTATCTCAAATACAATCAGAGAAACTTCATCAAAAGCTTTTAAAAGCTATTATTTATGGGAATATTCCCTTTAACTTTGTTGATAATCCTCATTTACAAGATTATCTTCGTAATTTAAACTCATCTTACCATCTTCCTTCCTGAGATATGATCAGTGGGCGTCTTTTAACCATGATGTTCTCTGATCATCTTCAGGAGAAGTTAAAAACTCTTCTTGCTCTAACAGACTTAACAATATCTCTAGACAGATGGACTGATAATTCCGGAAACTCTATTTACGGTTTCATGGCTCTTAAAAAGCACCAAGAAATCGTATTAGATATTCTTAACCTATCTGCAAATTGTCATACAAGTGACTTTCTTAAAGAAAAAGTAAAAGAAGTTTTATTAGCAAATAGTATTCAAATATTATCTACTATTGCTATCATTACCAACAATTTCTCAAACATGGATAAAATGAGACGAATACTTCATATAAGTCTAATAAAACTACTAACAACCAAAAAAAATTAGAATTGTTAGAAATAATGATAAGTGAATGCTCATTTTTCCTTTATAGCAATAAACAGTAGTTTTAATTATTAAATATACTTATCTTAATTATTAAATTTAGGATAAATATCCTAATATAATCCCTATTCGGTGCTGCTTATATGTTTTAATTTGATTGTTAAAGATATTGTAAGCTTTCCTGTTATTGCTTCTGTTTGCAAAAAAAAACCAAAAACTTGTTAACTTTTTCAATTCATCTCATATATGACATTATGAGCTGCAAAACTAGCAAAAAAATCAAAAAATTAAACATTTCTTAGCAACATTTTGTAAAACGAGGTAGTATTCACTTGCCAAAGTCTGCTTAGATGTGTCGGCATATGAACAGGGTTTTCAACATTGTTTGGTGTTGAGCGAAACAAATCGTTCCAAATATTCTAAAATTGATAATACTGTAGTAAAAGGTTTTATTCGTGACAAATATCACTTCGCCACCAATGATACATTGATGAAAGTAGTTAGACCAGTGGTTGATGCTATTGGAAGGTTGGAATCAAATAATTCCACACTTGCTGATGTCTTTAAAGAACTTACTTGTATCTATTACTAATTAGCTCCACTTCAAGTTCCTATTTATAGTTTTCAGAAACACGCCCTTGCCGTTGTTAGCAAGCATGCAAGAGAGTTTAATAGCGATATTTACTTCATTGCATTTTTTCTTTCCCCAACTTATAAAAAACTGGCTGTGTCTAAAAAAATAAGTGAAGATAAAATTGTCTGTACTTCGCTAGAATTGGCTAAAGTATAGAATTTTAGTAAAAGAGATACAAGTCTCTTATTTCAAGAACTTATTAGTTACAAATCAATAATCTCCCATTTGATAAAATTTTTTTTGATTCATCAAAAACTCCATGGTTCTTCTGGATTGAATTTACTGAAATGCACCTTTATTACGTTGCTTTGCAATGAAGGTTTTTGCTATCGTTCCTCACAGTGCTGGCTATAAATGGCTTTTTTCATCACTTGAACTAGTAAAATCCAAAATTCAGAATAAAATAACACCAAATAATCTTTCTATTCTTGGACAGCTTAAAAATGAGCTCAAGAAAAAGATACCTACCAAAGCCAAGCAACACAAAACCATTTCAGACTCTTTAATTGATAATGATAAAAACTTAGATATCTTCTTTGATGATGAAAACAAAGTGTTAGAAGACTTGGATGAGGAGTTAGAAGAAATAATCATAGAAAATGAAGAATATTTTATGGAGGAACTTTTTGATTTTGAGATGTTCGAAAGAGATCAAGAGGCATTAGACTATTTACCTCAGGTTAATATAGAACAAGATCTGTCTCTAGAAGAAGATTGGTCTGTTGATATTTTTCTTGAAAATCTATAAACTTATATAACTAAATAAATGTAATAAAATATATCGATACATATTAAGTAAAAAAAAAATTAACAATGAAATAAATTCTAACTCAACATATATATACGTATGCATGTGTGCCTTACTGGTTATTATATTAATTATTATATATGATTTATTAATAGGGGCATGCCCCAGGCACAATAAGAAAGGCATGCCTCAGTCTGGGGCATGCCCCTCTGAGCATGCCCAAAAATTTTCCCGTGCCTACAACCCTACTTTTAACAAGTTTTCATGGATTTGGTTTCTTGATTTTTTTTTAATATTTGTTTGTTTTCTAACTTACTATTGTTCTTCCTTGTTTATTGTTTATTTTTATGTACACGTCATAAACATAGCTAGTGCTTCGAATAGTTGACCAAATAACCCAAAATTAACTTGGTTATAATAAATTTATTACAACAATCAGTTTTGAGTTATTAAATTAACTTTTTCAAAGCACTATATGTCACTCTTTGTGATATTTTTTTTAACGGTTATAAATACAGTAAGAATTTGTCTTGAGTTAGGTTCAACAACAATGATGAATTCGTTTCTGATTAATACTACCTTTTTAAACACTGTTTCTAAACTACGAAAACATTTTGACAATATACAAGTTTCTGAAATTCGAATAACTCTTGAATATTACAATAAAGAAGGTCAAAATGTAGATATCTTTTTTGGTGAAGATATCACCACAATTCTTATAAAAAAAGCTCGGCTATCTTTACTTCTAGAGGATATCAGAATAAAGGATATTTCTAACCGTCTATTAAAAGAAATAGTGGGTGATAAATGGGAAGATAGAGTTGTGTATATTCGAGATAAGATCCAAAAATCTTATCTTGACCAAATCTCTCTTCTTGAATATTATTATTTTTTAGATGAGTATTTAGAAGTTAGAGGTGTGTATATTTAAGATAAGATCACTTTGATCAAATTTTTCTTCTTAAATATTATTATTTTTAGGTGAGCATTTAGAAGAGAGAAGGTGGAGTAGAAATTCTCGGTGCTTTATAAAAGAAAAATTTTCTGAAGAAGCATTTAAATATGTATGGAAATCTGCTATGAGGGTCTATAAGCTATATAAGGTCCGAGGAGTACATAATCTCCTCACAGTACAACATACTACCACTAACACATTAAAAAAATTATTAATTAATGATTACTCATTGCTTCTATTAGAAGAACATAAAGTTTATGAAGAAGAACTGAGTATGTTTTTAGGCCTTTTTACACCTTTTGCAGAGACACAGTTTTGTCTTATATCCTTTACAGAAGCACAGATTTAGGGTGTAGTCGAAATCTATTTTTTTTATTTGTATATATATTTTTATTTTTCTTTTATTTGTATATATTTCTTATTTTTTTTTTTTAATACTATATGGTTTATAAAAAATTATTTAAATAAAAAAAATATATTTCTTTTTATAATCTATCTTAAAAAAGAATACATTAGTAAAAAAATAAAAAATTCAATGTATTAAATAGCACTATTCGACCTCAATTAGTGTATAAGCACTACACCCTCTACCCCACTTTTTTAAATATCAAATTAGCAGTAATAATTTGGCTAAAGATTTTATTGCGATTTCCGCTAATCTGACATTTAAAAATTGGGGTGGAGGGTGTAGTGCTTATTCACAATAGGATACGGTATTACACTTTGTAATAACAATACATAAAATATGCAAAAATATGCAACATATTTCTAAATATTTTATTGTTTAAAGTTGTGATATATTTTATATTTATGCAAATATAAATAAATATATATATAAAGTTTATATAAATAATATATATATATTATAACTACGTAAGTCTATATTGGGTTTATATGGGAGCCCTAATTTCCCCCACTAGTTGTGATTGGTCACATGAAATATCATCTTCAATTAACAGAAGGAAACGTCCAAATATAGATATGATTTTCATTATCCATTACACAGATCACTTATTGTATTGACTAGTCAAATATCACTACGGGATTAGTCAACCAATCAAATTGCGAAATTTACAAAAAGACGAAACTGTGGGATTCAAGGGGATTCAAAAA